GATGACTTGTTTATCTTCTGCCATGGTTCAGTTGATTCTGTTATGGGGGTCTTAAGTGTTCTTGATTTTTTTACAAAATGTTTGGGCTGAATCTAAATGCTAGTAAGACAGAGTTCTTTTCTTGTGGTGTTGGGAGCAATGTCTCTAGTGAAATCCAAAACATGACAGGTTTTAAGCATGGTAGGCTCCCTGTGAGGTATCTGGGTATACCTCTGTTGATTAGAAGGTTTATTGAGAAATATCGTTATCCCTTGATTGTTAAGATTAAATAAAAACTTGGTGTTTGATCGAGGAAAATTTTCAGCTATGGTGACAGGTTGTAGCCAATTAGAGTTGCTTTATATAGTATTTCTAACTTCTGGTGCAAGCAAATTATTCTTCCTAAGGGGTATTAAAAGGATCGAGCAGATGTGTATGTGTTTCTTCTGACAGGGTCCAGATGATCTTGGTCAGGGTGGTGCTCGAATTGGTTGGTAGCAAATTTACTCGTTAAAAGCCAATGAGGGACTGGGGGTTAAGGATTTACTGTGTTGGAATCGTAAGTGCAGTTTTCAGCTCATTAAATATATCCTTGCTGGGGAAGGCTCTCTTTGGGTGGCCTGGATCAACGTGTATGTTTTTAAATATGTTGATTATTGGCAGGTTGAGAGAAGATCTCATTTTAGTTGGACCTTGAGGAGACTGCTGAAGATGAAAGATGAGACTAGGGGGTGTAAACGAGTCGAGTCGAGCTAAAGTATTGCTGAGCTCGACTCGACTCGAAAACTCGCGAGCTTAAAATTTTCAAGCTCGACTCGAACTCGAAATCCTGAACTGAAGCTCGTGAGCAGCTCGAAAAGGTTCGAAATGAAAAAAAAATCTTAAACTTAATTCGATTGAAGCCTCAAACTCAAACTTGAATATGAACCTTAAATACATAAAAATCTTACTGTATTTTTTTTAAAAAATTATCACATAAATATTAATATTATTAATAATTTATTTTTAAAAAAAATAAAATCATAATATATTATATTTTTGAGTTGTTCACGAGCTTTTCGAGTCGAATATGGAGTAGCTCGTTTCAGCTCGTTAAGAACTCGAGTCGAGTCCATTCGATCCGAGTATTTATCGAGCATTGATCGATTCGATCTCGAGTAGCTCGCAATCTGTCTCGTCTCATTTACAACCCTAGATGAGACTAGAGTTTTGTTTGGAGGTGGTGTGAGTTGGACGATAGTTTATAATCGATAGATTTGGGATATGATTAAAAGCATGAGGTTTAAGGTGCAATGGCATGGGCTGTTTGGTTTCCCCTCCATATTCTTAAGCATTCGATTGTGGCTTGGATTATTATCTTGGATAGGGTTCCTATCAATGAGAGACTTACGAGAATTGGGGTAGTAATGGATGGTATATGTAATCTGTAACACCCCCAACCCGTATCCGACCAAGATACGAGTCTGAAGTGTCACAGTGACTTTTCGAAAATTTATTCATATAAAATAGTGAGTAATTTAAAAACTTTTATAACATTTAAATTATTCAGAGCTTATACAATATATTCTTTTGATTACATGCCAACTAGAACTTTATATACAAAAATACATATTATTCACCTCTCTTCTGATCTGACATTCGGTAAGGAGAACTGACCTGTCTTGTTCCTCTTTACTTTTCTTTTCGCTTTCCAAACCTACGTGTGAAACAATCACACGCTAAGTCGATGACTTAGTGAGGCATATAAAACATATAATATTTCATATAACATAAAGCATACATAAACATATACCATCACTATCATTAAGAAACACACATAACATCATATGGTTCATGTAACACATTTCAAACCACTTACCTTTGATAACCATTTATAAACCCATCGTATACATATCACATTCAGTATGCTTGTTTAATCACTTAATTAGCCCATGTACACTAGTGAGAACTTAAGGTATGTGAGTACATTGAGGTTGTGCACACATATGCTGTCACCACAGCTCGATCAATGTCCCGAAGGACCAGTCCATAGATTCCGAAGAACCTAGGTAATCAGTCCATATGTCCCGAAGAACATAGGTAAACAGTCCATATGTCCCGAAAAACATAGGTAAACAGTCCATATGTCCCGAAGAACATAGGTAAACAGTCCATATGTCCCGAAGAACATAGGTAAACCCTCGACCCTTGGCATGCCAACTATACCCCTAGCTCTCATATCACATAACATGGGCATTATCATTTATAACAGTTCACATTACTTATTCATATTCTTTCTCTTATAAACACATATCTTTTCTTTTCAGTCACGTATCACATGTACGTGTAATCATTGATCTCATAATCACATGTTCCTTCTCTTCTATCACATACCACATGTATGTATAAACATATATCTAATATCATATGTTGCATGTAATCACATAGATCGTATCATATAGCTTCTTTCACATATACATGTAATCACTTAGTCTATTTTCATGTAATTCTTTTCACTTCTCATATGATTTTATATTCATATCTCACATAGCTCATATTACCTTGCATTGTTTCATATAAACATAGATGTCATATCTTGTTCGCATATATTTTCTATATAACTCATATATCTCATAGTTCTTTCACATAGCTCACTATCATATTTTCATATCATATATCTTATAATAGATTCTTATATCATCATTTGTTTCCTTTCTACCCTATTCATAATCATATAACATATACAAAACATATCATTATCTTTAGTCATGCATACATACAATCAATGTAATACAGATAATCACATATAATTATAACAACACATAATCATGTCCATGACTTCATGCATATTACTCTAGGAAATAGACTCATCGCAAGTCTTATTTTCATTAAACACTACATATCACTAGTATGCACTCACCTTGGTCTCACTAGTCAATTCCAATCTCTTATCTTTCCCTTGATCGATCTTACTTGTCAAATGTTCCGGAATTGCTTTACGCGCAGAATCTACATAAATGTACATTTTGAGGCAATCATTAGATACCTACACCTTGTAATTGGATACTAGCAACTTAAACAAACTTATTAAACCAATATTCATATTTTTCCTTTAGGGGGTATCGATTCCCTACTGGGGGTATCGATACCCTCATGACATTCTGGAATTCTGTCGTTTGAGAGGGTATCGGTACCCCTTTGAATGGGTACCGATTCCCCCTAACTCAGAAATCATTTTTCAGCACGAAAATTACTTCATTTCCTCTCAAACACTTCATATATCATCCCTTTTTCATTCTTAACTCTAGTACACATACTTAAACCAATCTATATTCATTTATTTCATCTTAAACCTCAAAATCCTATCTTCCATATGTAATTCAATAATTACATCAATTTTGCAATATGTTTCAAATCCAATTCTATTACTTCATATCTCTTACTTAGATTGATAACAAGTCAAATCCAACTTTCAATTCTTGTTATGAACTCTATTCCCATATTTCATTCAAGAACCTCAAAATCTTTAATCTTCTCTATCTCCTTTATCTTTTGATCTTAAGATAACTTAAGCTTTCCTTAAGCTTAGTTATCATCTAATGATCAAAACCCAATCTTAAACTTAACAAATAATTAACTAAGTAGAAGACTCACCTTTGAGCTTGGAGATACGGGAGGAGAGGAAGAAGAAGAAGAAAAGAGAGTTTCTTGAGAAATCTCTCAATCTTATCCCATATATATCATTATCTTATCTTTCCAAGTCAAATGACCACTTTGCCCTTAAAATCCTTTAATAATTACTAACAACTTTTAGGATTTATTTTCAGATAAATCATTGAACTAATTCATTCTTCTACTTTAATCACCAAATCCTGAAACTTTACAATTAAGTCACTAACCCATAGTTTGGGATGTTACATAATCTGTGTGGGGTTCATGTTGAGACTCGGGATGATCTTTTCATAGAATGCCAATTCTCTCGTGAAATTTGGACTAGGATCTTACAACTTTACAATTTGTAGTGGAACATTACTGATTGGAGCAACGCTTTGCAATGGATTGTTGAAAAACTCAAAGGTAAATTGCTTATAGTTTGTATCCTCAAATTGGCTTGAGTGAGGTTTTTGTATTTTGTATAGGAAGAACGTAACTTCAGGCAGTTTTGAGGGATTTTTAGATCAATCGAGAATTTTGTTGAATGTGTTAAGGGGTTGTGAAGATTTGTTTGCAGGTTTATTTCATCGATAGGCTTGATGTGGTGAACATTGTCCTATATAATAAGTGGAGAATCTGATTTGGATTTGCTTGACTCTATCTATGCGATCCTTAGATAAATCTAAAATTGAATTATAAAAAAAAAAAAGAATAAAGAAGAAAAACGAAAAGAGAAGCCAATTTTTTTTCATTACAAGATTTTAAACTACTTTTAGGTAGCTTTATCCTAAGTTTGCTGATGTTATTATTCGTCGAAATTAAAGTTAATATTTACAAAAGAACTAGGTCCTCATTAAAAAAAATAGCAATTGAAAGTAAAGTAAATTTTAACAATGTAATATAATTAAATTTTTATGTGGGAATTTTATTTACTAGCATATAAATTATCGTAATAATAAATTTCACATATAAACTCATTCGAAGTATTTCGTAATTTTAATTTAGCATCTAGGACAAAATCACAAAATACCTGAACCAAGGATACTGAAATGATAATTCTTAAAATTGAGAGTCAAAAGTGCAATTTCCGAAAAGAAAGCGTGATATACACGTATTGATAAGCCCGAGGCGAGCGAAATGGCAAAGCGATTCACCGTCCCGCTCGAATTTCTATTTTTTCAAAAACCTAAATTTGCCATTTGGGTTTTTTTTTTCTTAATAAGCTTTAATTGAAAAACTAACAAATTGAAATATTCAATAAAACGTTACAATAACACATCCAAATAAAAGGAGAAAGGGGGAAACAAGAAAACAACGCTATTCCTCGCGACCTCTTGTGAAGATCATAAGAGAATCGCGCGATCTCTTTCTATGACTTTCGTCTATGAATTTTCTTTGTAAATAAAGACTCGATTCTGTGATCGTAGGCAATCGGAATTAGGGCAAAATACAATGGCTCCGTTCTGCGTTCGTGATATTTTTCGTCGCAATAACAAACGTTTCAAGTCTAAATTGAAGAATGTAATTCCGTTTATCTTCCGTAATCTTCATTTTTATTTATAAATCAATGTTTTGAGGTAGGATTTTAAAGAATTTTGAAGGTTTATTGATGTTTGGTGCAGGTAAAGAAACACAAAAAGGGTAGACTAAACAACATGCAAGAGAAATACGAGAAGCTGGCAGCAGATATGGAGGAGATCAGCGCGGAACAACAGAATATAAGAAAAGCACAGAGACTGGTGAGGGAAAAGTTTGAAGGCGTTGCAAATGAGTATGAGGAATTGAAGAGAGAAACTAGAATCATTGTCCAACAAACTGCTAGAACCCAAATCAAGTTAGCTATCATGTTCCAAATTGTAAAGGCTTCCGAACAAGCTGACCACGCTACTGTGGCCAATCTCACTCATTTGCTTCGGTACTTTTTTTTTCCATTTCTCTTTATTGTTGGTTTAGCTTTAATTTGGCCTCGATTTGCTTATTTTTTTTCTTCTTCTTATTTGATTGCATTTTGGGTGCGAAATTAGATATTAATTTTAAAGGGAGATTATGTATATATGTTTGTATTTTTTTTCATTTGTCTTGTATTTTCATAAAAAAATTATACCTGAATCTAGATCTTCCTTGATCTGCCAGGCAATGAAGTTTTCTTCAATTTCAACTACAAGATGAGAGAATGTTGATGTTAATTAGCTTTGCTATTTGTTGTAATTTTAAACCTTTTCTTTTAGAGGAAAAGCTATTTGGATAGCTTGACTGGTGACTAGTTAATTTCACCGATTGTGTCATGCTTTGGAATTAAAGCTACCAACTGGATGTTAATCTTGTTTTATTATAACTTTTTTCATTTTTTTGTTTAGTGTAAAACAAATTGGCTTAAAGTTGATTGATGGAATAGAAAAAAAAAACTATGAGAAAAAGAGAATTGGGTTCCAAATTACTTGATTCAATCAAGTACCTCACTGAGTTCTAATATTTTGTATGGAAAATTTAGATTTGAAGTTCATCCTTTCTAGTGGAGAAATTATCCTTTCTTACCTCCCCTTTATCTTTACTTTCAGACATTTTTCTAAATCCAGGAAATGGTATCTATCTCCAGGTTTATGGTACTCATTAAAACTAAACTGTTTTTTTTTTTTTGGCTTTTTGCAGTGAAATAATTAGAAGGGAGAATGAGGAAAGACAATCATCAGATGATAGTTGAACTGCAAGGAGAAACTTCTGCTCTTAAAAATATCAAGTAGGGAATCCAGTGTGTTAATAAAGTACTTTCTGTCAAGCATTAAGGTTTCTATTAACTTGTTACTGTCTTTAGTTAGTTTAATCCGTGTTTAGTATTTTCAGTGACAACTTTTATATATGAATATCCTTTCTTAATGTTGAATCTTTGTTTGTCTTAGGAAGAATCAGATATTATGCATGACTTAACATTAAGACTATCAATGCTTAGAAAATTTTATGATACTTTACGAACCTATGGTTCTGGACTTCTAGTGGTGCCTTTACCACCCTAACTAGCAAATTGGAGCTGCTTCTGGTTTGTGCAATGCACAATTTGTTATGTTATCATTTACAGTAAAGGGTAGCGTTATTTGTTATATTATCTTTTGAGAAAGACGTATGAGCGATAAAATATTATTTTTTAAAAGGAAGAATGCAGGTCACTGCAGAGACATAGTTATCTGTAGAAGATGCAAGGAAAACAAAACCCTAAAGAAGGGGGGTAGAATGAATAGTGAAGGAAACACAAAAAAACATTTTATATGAAAGACTACTAATCACATGCCGAACTGGCAATCAATCAGTTAAAACAAGCTGTAAACTAGAAGATAACCATCCAGGCCAAGTCTATTGTTTGGAGAACTAGGTTTGAATTGACCACAGTAAAAAGGAAAATTTCTGCAAAGGTTACTTTCAAGTTCAGTTCTTTACTTGCCTTGCCCAGGATGATGATTCAAGTTCCTTTGCCATGCAAAAAGCTTCTCTTGCTTCAAGGGGTTCACCATTAATGTCATGAACTTCTGAATGTAAAACTAAGCCCAAAACTAACAGTTAACAGTGCAAGTAAAGATAATCACTAGGGCTTCCAAGAGTTCCAATTTCTCACCGTGTTAGGCTCATTATAAGTTCGAAACACGGTTCCAGGAACATCAGTATGTGGGGCTAATCTCACAGTTTATTTATTATATATTTATTCATGCGTTTTAACACTATTTATAATACTAAATATTATATATCTAGAGTAAATGGTTAAAAATGCTCGATTGATATTTTTCTTTCTTCTCTAAATTGGCGGTTCAATACTTGTTAAAAATAAAACTTTCCTCTCCCCTCATAGGTAGGAATTATTCCCCTCAGGAATTATTGAAGAAAAAAGTGTATGTTACCCTGAATACAAGATCAATACAATAACTCTATTATTTGTAGTCATTTTATCCAAATTAAATTTTTTCTTTCGGTTGTCAATTATCACACCGTAATAAAATCTATTGTCCAACTTTTAGTTTGTTAGCTTCGAAGACTTTAGTTCGTTTCACCAATGTACTAATTTTTCCAATAAATTGATGTTTTTTTATTACAAAATTTAACTTATATTACCTACTATCAAACATAAAATGTAATGTTCATATTATACTCGTATACAAAAAATTATGAAAAAGTTATGAAACAGGAAATTTTTATATATGGTCATCCAAGTGCATTAAGATCAAGTGTACTATAATGATGATAACGATGTATCTAACAATAATATAATATTATATCATATTAATTGGGATATTATTATTTTTAATTTAACAGTCAGCTGATCTAGTGAGATGAGGCACTAAGTCCTTTAAGCAATGTCAGGGGTTCGAATCCTGACATTTTCGAATGAAGCAAACTGGGTTGGAAGGATCACCCTCGGCTCTACAGTATCCGATCTTGATTAATTAGTCAATAGATCGGATACTAGTGATTAATTAAAAAAAAAGTAATGTGCACAGCCTACACCAACAGAACATTAATCAACGGTCGCATTAAACAAATATAAAAGTAGATAAAATTAATTTAATTTACGTGTGATAAATGCTTAACCAATATTGTTGGCATTTCTAAAAGCAGAAACGAGTATAGTATAAGAGCTAACTCAGCCATGACTATGTTCTCCCATCTTCATAGACACCTCAACAGACAAAAAGTACTTGAGCAAAAGAAAAATAATACTAGGGTTTTCCCGTTGAAGAAATATACAACACGGCTCGTACCCAAATAAAAAACGGAGCCAAATATATATTTTTTTTCTCCCGTTTTCCGCTCTTCGGCAAGCAGCCAAAGCTTTCGCATTCGTATCGGTTCTGTGGTGATTTTAGCTGCAAACTGCTTCAATTGCTAGTTTCTTTGTGGTATCAGTACACAAGCCCTTATCAAAGTTCTCCTCTGTTAGTTCTATGGCACGCTCCTTTTTACCAACTCATGCCTGCCATTCACAGAATATCAGGAACAGAAAATTAGTGTTAATTAGTTTGTATTAATCCTAAATGCAGATATGCTTGTTCTGTAAAGATGACTATAAATAATCACGTAGATCATGGTGTATTGCATTTGCAGCTTAGTTCTTCAGACATTCTTAATCCAACCACTAGTGTGTACCAGTAATACTAATGCCTTGGCACCAGATTCTGCTGCCAACTTTTCGAGTATTAGATGCACATAACTTGTGGCTTTGTGAAGATGCCGTAGCCTTAACCTTTGGGATAACGGTAATGACAAAAGAATATATCTGTAACAGCTTCAACTCTTACCTTTTCGATCGCCGATGTCGAATTAGGATCATGGCAGTCTCCTTTGCTGTAAGATCTGTTGAAAGTAAAAATCAGAAAGTGGAGACATTGTTTTTCAACAAAGGCAGTAGAACGGATTTTCAACAAAGGAGGGCATGGGCTGAAGTTTTTCAATAATTGTAAAGTCAACAATGGTGGGAGGGGCACCGCCTATGCATGTTTTCAACAAAAATTCGGTGTTCCAAATTTTTAATTAAAATGTAATAGGGTTAATTATATTTTAGCCATTGCACACTTTAGGGTATTTACAAGATTAGTCCTTAAGCTTCAACTATAAATATTCTAGCCTATTTAGCTTCAAAATCATCCCAAGATCCCAAAAATCATTTTTTTCTCCCAATACTAGAGAGCTTTTTTGTGAGTAGTGAGTGTTTTGTAAACACCTGTAAATTTTCTCTCTTAGTAAAAGATCTGCAGCAGTCCGGAGACGTAAGCAAATTTGCTGAACTCCGTTATTAATTTCGGGTATTATTTTTCCGTCTTTATTTTGCAATCTCACTAATCTGGATATAGGGAAATTACTCGTTACTTGTTTATTTCCCAACAACTGGTAATCAGAGCTTTTGGTTGTGAATTTTGTCAATTTTTTTCGATGTTACTATTTATTACTATTCATATAAATAGTGAATTTCGTGAATAGTGAAATTTTGTCGGCGATACGAATTTGTCGACGATACGAATTTGTCGACGGAGGTGTTCTAATACACGACGGTTCATGAAAATTTGTCAGAACGATCCAAAAAAGCCAGATTCGAGTGGGAGCGATGTCTGCAGACGAAGGGAAGGTGAAAATTGAAAAGTTCGATGGTGCGGACTTTGGCTTTTTGAAGATGCAGATTGAATATTTTCTGTACCAGAAAAATCTATATCAACCTCTTTCAGGAAAGTAACCAGAGGGCATGAAGAATGAAGATTGGGCTCTTCTCGACAGACAAGCCCTCGGAGTTATCCGACTGACGTTATCCTGCAATGTTGCTTTCAACATAGCAAAGGAAAAGACCACAGCGGGTCTTATGGAGGCTCTCTCCAGTATGTATGAGAAGCCATCAGCCTCAAACAAAGTTCATTTGATGAGGCAATTGTTCAATTTGCGGATGACGGAAGGGGCATCAGTAGCTCAACACCTAAATGAACTCAACACAATCACAATCTAGTTGAGTTCCGTGGAAATTGAATTCGATGATGAAGTTCGAGCTTTAATTCTCTTATCATCTCTACCAGATAGTTGGAATGCTACTGTTACAGCAGTTAGCAGCTCGTCGGGAAATAGTAAATTAAAATTCGACGATGTTCGGGATCTGATACTAAGCGAAGAAATTCGACGGAGAGAATCGGGTGAAGCATCAGCCTCTTCAGCCTTGCACACGGAGTTCAGAGGGAGAAATTCAGAAAGAAATTCAAATCGTGGTAGATCCAAATCCAGAACGGGAAAGAAATATTTTACCTGTTATAACTGCGGCAATAAGGGTCACTTTAAAAGAGATTGCCGAGCACCGAAGAAAAATACCGGCACACAGGAATCTGCCAACGTGATAGAGGAGACAAGTGATGCCATGATTCTAAGCGTCAACAGTCCGATTGAATCATGGATCTTGGATTCAAGGGCATCTTTCCACTCCACCCCATGCCGAGAAATCATGGAGAACTATGTCAGTGGTGATTTTGGGAAGGTTCATCTAGCTGATGATGAAAACTTGAAGATCGTCGGAAAAGGAGACATCCGACTAAAGCTGCCAAACCAGACCACCTGGAAGCTGACAGGAGTGAGATATATTCCTGGCCTCAAAAGAAATCTGATTTCTGTAGGGCAGCTTGATGGAGAAGGTTATAGTACAACATTTTCAGGCTGTGAATGGAAGATTACCCAAGGAGCACTCGACATTGCTCGTGGTAAGAAGACTGATACTCTCAATGTAACCTCAAACTTAGAAAATATCATTGCTACAGCAGATACTGATGGAAAATCAAACCTATGACACCAAAGGCTTGGTCATATGAACGAGAAAGGGAAGAAAACACTTTTGTCCAAAGGGAAGCTATCGGATCTAAAGAATGTAGATGTCGGACTATGCGAGGATTGCATCTTTGGCAAACAAAAGAAAGTCAGATTTGCAAAGATTGGTAAGACACCCAAGGCTGAAAAGTTAGAGTTGGTTCATACTGATGTATGGGGACCATCTTCAATTCCATCTCTTGCAGGCTTATTATATTATGTCACCTTCATCGATGATTCTACAAGAAAGGTGTGGGTTTATTTTCTAAAGAAGAAATCAAAAGTCTTTGTTACCTTTAGAAAATGTGATACCTTCAGAAAATGGAAGGCCATGGTGGAAAATGAGACTGGTTTGAAAGTCAAGTAGTTGAGGTCTGACAATGGAGGAGAGTACATAAATAGGAGATTCAGAGATTTCTGCGCAAACAATAGGATCAAGATGGAGACAACAGTTCTCATGACACCGCAGCAAAATGGCGCAGCAGAGTGCATGAACAGAACTCTGAATGAACGTGCCAGAAGCATATACATGCCAGATTACCCAACTTTCTATGGGCTGAAGCTATCAACACTGCAGCTTACCTG